TGTGATGGGCATGCCTAAATCCCTGGAGGCAGGAGCTGGCACTGGATTGATAGGTTACTAAACCTGTCAGTCCAGTTCCTGTGACCCTCTCCCCTGACCTGACCCCATTTAGGCCCCACCCAGCTCAGGTGCAATTATACCATGCCATGTGTCTCCATGTTTGTGTCCTGTTTCCTGTCTCTTGGCTCCTCTCTGGTCACCATGGTGTATTGTTTTTGTTCTTTCTTTCCTCTCTGGCCTTCATGGCTCAGTTTCCTAACAGTGTCAAGTGTATTTGCTGGCTGCTGGTCTTTGAGACAGGAGTCCACTGTGCAGTCACTGGCCTTTTAATAAAGACTCCAAGACTGGACCTTTCAAAATGTGGCATCTCTGTTTTCTTACTGTACAACAGTATTGGGGAGCAGCTAGAAGTTTCTATCTAAAGGCAGTGGAGGTGCAATTTGTGCAGAAGCCAGTTCATCCTAAATACGTGCTCTGTACTATCTCCATTCAAGGCAAACTCTAGCAGAATGAAAGACCATTAAATTGGAATGAGGTACTATCCTGTGTTTCCTGTGTGGAGCTTGTGCTCTGGGTGAGGACTGGCAGGATTAGGGAGTTGAATGACTTCTTAAAGAGTAAGATTCACTTGTAATTCTGAATGAATGCAGTGTGATCTCCATGGCTCATCTTGTACCATCGTGCAGAGACATTATAAAGTCTAGCACTTCTGCATAGTCACATCAGAAAAGTTACTCTCAGAGGTGAGGCCCTGGAGGGCCCAGGTTCGCCTCCAGCCATCAGTCACCCAGTTGGAATACCACCTAATTGGGAGAAAATTTCTTCTCTGGGGAAATTCTAGAGCAATCTAGTACTGCTGTGCCACCATTATTTTTCACATATGAACGGAAACAAGTAAGTGTGTCCTAACGAAATCACAATGAGATTGAGAAAACTCAGATGGTTGAATTTAAAATATCTTCGAAACTTTTCTTTCCACTTCTGGACATAGTGTAGTGGAAATAAGGAAGAGTGTTTTTCTTTGTTGGTTTGTAAAGTTTATCTTTTTATCATGATAAAGTATGAAAATACCATTTGAACTTTGTAAGCATACAGTTCCCTGACATTGAATAATACATTCACATTTTGGTATGTTACCAATATCCACCTCTAAAACATTTTTGTTCTCCCAAACTGGATCATTCATTACACATATAACTGGCCAATAGCTACTCATTTTTATCTGCCTGAGACTTTGGGTAGTCAGGGTTTTATTTTCCATCTGCATATGTTTTGACTATTCTCTTATAAGTGGAATCATGTGATATCTGAGCTTTTGTGCCTGGCTGATCTCACTTAGCATGCTGTTTTTAATGTTCATCCATATTGTAGTGTCGATTAGAGTCTCCTTTATAAGGTCGCTGAAAAATATTTCAATTGTGTGTATCCTATTTTGTTTACCCATTTTTTCCATCCATGGCCATTTGGGATCTTTCTACTTCTTGATTGAACAATACCACCTATTTTTCTCCCTGCCCATTTTCCATCAAATCGGTCTGTCATGCTTCCTTTATACCTGCTCCTGCCAGTCCTCCCTCCAAGAAAGATCCATTCCATCCCAGCTCTCCTTCCTTCTCTGTGGGAAAACCATCATGCACTACTCTTCTGTGAGAGCTTGGATTTCTGTGTCAGAAAGCCTTGTGGGATTTTTGAGCTCCCATGCTGCCTCATGCTTCATTTCTTCAGAAAGTACTGCAAGACATCCACTAAGTTGGTCTATCTGTGCCCCAGCACAATGTAAGGGCATGTCAGCATGCTCTTCCCTCCCATGTCTACTCCAGCACATATGCGCCCTTCAGAAATACTTAATGCACTGAAGAAGGAACCTGAGAACTTCATTTACATAATCTTGCCTTAAATCAGAAGGAAACTTTTTTTTTGTCCTACAAGTAAATATTTGGCGCACAAAATGTAGGATACCTATAAACAAGAGGTATTTGACTTTCTGTTCACGTAGCTTAATTCCTCACACAAATATTTTAATCCTCCATAGCTGTTTGCTCTTTGACTGCAAACTCAGTAGTTGATTTAGGTTTTTGTGCTTGGACTTATTTATTTCAAACGATTTCTGACAGGTTTTTGCTTTGTTTTCCCTGAAATTTTGTGACCCTAATATTTGCAAATCGGGCTGCTTTCCATTGCCTTCTTTGATGTGACTTTTGTCTCTGCTCATCTTATAAATTGTACACACGTTTTGCTTTCTTGACTCTGTCCTATCCTCTCCCCTTCCTTGCTTTCACTAAAGTTATTTACTCAGTTTGTTGGGCTCAGCAACTTGTAGGGCAGCTTCAAGACTCTCTTCTATTGTCATTGCTTTTCCCAGCCATTCCTGTGCAAATGGATTTCTGCATATTGAGTTGACACTGCAGGTGGCTGGAGGTCTTTACCTGGCATGCCTCTACTCTTAGTAATGCTCGTGTGACCATCACTAACACTGAATTCTTCAGAAGGAAATGTGGAAATTTCACAGACTTTATAAACGCTGCTTTTTAGAAAAAAAAATGAAGCAGGGAAATTTGTTTTTACTGCAGATACACGACTACTCTAGTTCTGTTTTGAAATGCCATTTTGAGGGCACCATCATTTTTTCATGTTCAAAAAAACACGCCTCCCCACAAGTTGGAAGCCAGTGGCCCTGCTGATTGCAATGTAGAGTAATGCACAGGTAGAATAGAACTTCTTTTATGGAGAGGGAACATAATGAGAGGAGGTGAAGGAAGTATGAGAATCTCCTTTGGTGAGAGGAGATAGAAAAAACTGAGAGGTGCTGGAAGCTGGCTAGCATATTACCTACCATATTGGCTACTATAACAACGGTTGGTATTCCTTGGTCCTGAATTTCAAGGCAGAAAGCAGCAGGGGATATTGCTACAGAGAAAGAGCACAGCTATCTCTTTTTCTCTACCTCATTAATGGATCTTTCAACTCCCAACAGAAGCACACCTTTTTAGTGTAATCACACTTTGTATATTTAATTGATGATTCATTGTAAGTAGGAGAGTCGGGAATTAATATTAACAGTAATTAGTCTCCTGCCCTCACAGGCTTTGACTACTAAATTCTCTTTCTGCCGCTGCCCAGTTTTGGCAGAAAATAGTTTAGGGAATCAACCCTTGTTGAAGGTCAGTTTTAAGGTAATCCTTTCTTCACATCTGGGGTTTTAGTTCAATAACGGTCACATGACTTTGCTCCTGGCCAATTGGAAAGGAGGAACACTTGGAGGAAGTTTGGGAGAAAGAGAACTGTGGTCAACCAACCAATGTGGGGGAAAAAAAGGTCTGGCTTATAGGTCTGGATGCTGTAAGTGTCCTTAAGTTTAGCCTGAAAATAATGCTCTGGATAGCAGCAGGGAGATGCAGAAGCAAAGTCAGAGTTCTTTAGACGACTGAAGAACCACAAAATCAGCCAACTGTAAACTTGTACTAGGACTGGATTTTCTGTCATAAAAGCCCAACCATTTTCTTCCTATTTAATCTCTTAACTTAAAATCATGTGCATTCCAACTTATCTTTGATCTTTCTGACCCTTTTGAGATACCTGTATGACCTTGTGTAAACCTTGGAACCCTTGAAACCTCATTTCACTTATCTGGAAAATGAATGTAATTATGTCTTCTAGAATTTTTTTGTACAGATTATTTTAGATTCAGAACAAAGCCTGAGGCAAGGCACATGCACTAATACTTGTTGAGTGCTTATTCTGTGGCAAGGCTAGTCCTTGGTTTTAGACATGTAGTAACTGATGGTAGATACATATAAATATAAAACAGTAGAAATATGGTTATATGCATATGAACCTCTGTACAATCAGGTTTTCACATCATGCAGATGTATGTTTTCTTTAGATCATATTCACTGGATACTTTCTGTTCCACATGTATGGGCTAGACTGGAAGGTCTCAGGAGCAGAAATAAGAAAGCATATTTGAGAAGACATATTTGAAGAATAACAAGGTATATTTGAAGAAGTCACATTTTAGACTTGAAGTCACATTTTGAACTTGAAGAAGTTAGGGAAATATCCTAGAAAACATGCTTTTGGTTTTATTATTGAGATTATTCATATTCAAGGATGTAGGGAAAATAAAATAAAAGGACTGAGAGCCATTGAGTTTGATAATCCTGAATTCACTTGAGTCTTTTCTTCTCTTCCCTGTAGTAGTGATAACTAAAATTAGCTGGTTTGTCTGCCTCTTCCATTAGATTATTCTGTGAAGGGGCTGCCTGTCTTTTTGTAAATCAGTGTAGCCAGGGTCTGCCCCATGGATGTCCTCTAGTAAGCACTTTTTAAGTATAGGTTGAATGAATGCAAGAGTGGATGTTTGGAGAATAGAGAAGATTGGGGTGGTGGTAGAGGAGATGGGCACTTTCCAGCTGAAGACAGAGGTATACACCAAACCACAGGAATGAAATCATTGAATGCATATTGCAATACGAAGCTGGATGATTTGGGATTCTCATCTGTAATGTAGGCCTAGTGAGGTGCTTGAAATTAGATACCGGATTTGCACGTAAAGCTTTTTGCCTTCCAAGCTCTTACCCGTTCTGTTTCTTAACACTGAGATGTAGATGCCTTGTTTCTTTTCACTTAGGCCTATTGTAATATTTCTTAATGGGCTTTAAAAAAAAATATGTGTGTGGTATTATGGCATGAACTGAGGGCCTCGACTACCTTACCATTTAAGCCAAGCCTTTTTGCTTTGTTTAAGTGATTGTGTTTTTGCTTGGCGTTGGCCTCCAACTGCCACACACCTATCTTTGACCTCTGGTATACTTGGGATTATAGGCTTACACCACTAAGTCCTCCTTATTGATTGAAATGGGGTCTTGCTAACTTACCAACTCTGGCTGGCTTCATGCTGTGATGTCCTAAGTAGCTTGGATTATAGGTGTGCATCCTCATGTCTGACACTTTCTTTGTATGATTTACTTTCTGAGTTCCATTTTGGTCCTCTTTTCTAGCTCTCCATTGTGGTTTAAATCCACGGGGTATTGATCACCCTGCCCACGCTGATGGTATTAAATTGCAAATTGATGGTGAAAGTGTGGAATCTCAATCCATTAAAAACAAAAGTTTCCAGAAGGTGCCTGACCAAAAAGGAACCCCCAAGAGACTTCAGGGAGAAGTTGAGACAACTAAGGTAAGTAGTAAACTGTTAACTGAAGAGAAGCTAAAGCCACAGCTCTGCTATCTTTGTGGTCCCACCACAAAAACCTGGCCATGCTTCCATGAGCATGCATCCTGAGGAAAAGGGATAAATAAGTGACGATGCTGACTGTCAATCTTATCGCACAGCTTGTAGAGAAGGCCATCTTGGGCTTAAAGCTACTACTTTAGGACACTAGGCATCATGTCACTTTGTGAGTCTCAGATTCTCCATCCGTAAAGTGGGAATCATAAACTCTACCTCTTCCCCTGGTTTGAGCAGATCAAATAATTTGGTACTTATGGAAACATTTTGTAAAAGTCTGGGCATAAAAGGCTTTTGCTGACAACTCAAGTTAACTAATGGTACCTTACGAAATGTATGTAGGTCGGCAGATTTCAAGAAAACGCTACATTTTCTCTTCTGTTGCATTTAGAAGGTTAGGTGTGTGCCATCTTTTTTTTTTTTTATCATAGGCAGTAATTAAATATAATGATCCCAGGACTTCAATTAATAAACATTTTTCTCTTTTGCTGTAGGATACTTGCTTATCAGCATAAATGGAGATATAATAAAATTGACAACATGTTAAAGATTTATGAAAATGCGGGGTTTTGAGGGTAGCTGTGTAAGCATTATGCCGACCTTTGATCCTCAGCCCCACCCAGACCTGACCCCTCCCTGCCCTAGAGGTCCAGCCATACAGCTGGCCCCTCCCTCTCTCCACCCAGACCCATCTGAACTCCCATCTACCTCACTTCCTAACCCTCAGACCCTGCTGCTACCTGGATAGTGGAGGCTGCCATGTGTTCTCTCTCTGGGGCAAATATGGCTCCTCTAATAAACCTTGTAATCATCTTTCTCCTATGCCTGCCTGCCCCTGCATGGTCTCCAGGGATGGATGTGACGGATCCTTTCAAGATGACTCTTTTTTTCTTTTGCCAGTCCTGGGGCATGAACTCAGGGCCTGGACCCTGTCCCTGAGCTCCTATTTGCTCAAGGCCAGCACTCTACTACTTGATCCACAGCACCACTTGTGGTTATTTCTGTGTATGTGGTATTGAGGAATTGAACCCAGGGCTTCATGCATACTAGGCAAGTACTCTACCGTTAAGCCACATTCCCAGCCCAGTTGGTGACTTTTTGATGGGTGGCTTCTCAGAAGGGCTTTCTATAATGAGACTGGCACTTTATGAGTTTCTGTCTGAATCCAGTGATAATATTCAGTGTTGAAGATGTTTGTTTTATTTTTTCCATTGGAAAATGAAGGCATTAATGTTCATATGACATTTGATTTCTCCCTTTGTATATTCCCTGCAAGAAAACACCTTTTCTGTTGCTTGTTGAATGAATGAAAATTTACAGAGATTGAAAAACGAATATAAGCACCACAAAAACCCTTAAGTCAAAAGGTTGCTTTGCTTTTCCCTATATAAGGTCTTCCAAATTAAAATTTGAGGTTTTTTTTCCTTTTTGCTTTATCTATAGTTTTGAATAATCTCAGTGGTTACCTCCTTTCCTTAGCTTAGATGGTTAACAACTAATGTCATTAATTGCGCATGCGAATATCTGTGCATGTGGTTGGAAGTAGGGAGTGCAGATTGAGGGAGAGATTACAGGTGTTTCACACTAGGCATTTTAGCTGAGAACAGTTGAGTCTCACTGGAAATTGGTTGATGGCTCTTGAAGTTTTTCTGTGAGCAGGGTTTGAAGTAAATGCCTTTCTATCTTGACTAAACTTGACTAGTCTGAGGAGCCACACAGGCATCTTGAAAAAAAAAACAGGGAAAAAAATGTTGTCAGCATCTTCTTCTTTTAGTAAGAAGATTAAAATAGAGCTTGCTTGAATAGGATTAAGAAAATAATGATACTGATGTCTAGCATACTCAAAGTAAAGGTGGGATAAAAGACAACTCTTGATAACTTGTCTGATTTTAGTTTAATGATAAACGTTTCTATGTTATACTTCTTTTATTTATAAAAATTGTTAATAGAAAAATCTGGTTCAAATCTGATAGGATTTGATTACTTGTGAATTATTTTAAATTAGTGCTCTAATAGAAAAACCTGAATTTTGGAGTGGTTTCCCATTGTAGTTACTGTAGTACTGATAACATAATTCATTCATGATATAGATCTCAGTAGGAGCCCTTCCTCATTAATAGGTCACTTATTGGAAACTAGGTTTATCTGAATTTGTATAAATGATCTGAAATAAATGCCCAAAGGAGCTTGAAGAATATTCAGGAGCTTTTCACTTTGATATCATATTTAGATGAAATAGTTGCCTGCTTTATTTTTTTCCCTTAAAAAACAAAAGTTGTTGTTGGGAAAGACAACGGATGATTACTACAGGCTTTGGTGTCACACAGATTCTGAGGTTTCTGTCCCACAGATAATATAAACTTGTTTTATGCATGTGTAAACACATTTACATTTTCTCTTCTCTTACATTTAGAGGGTAAGTTGTGAGTCACCTTCTTTTCTCAGGCTGGTAATTGAATCTCTGGTATCTTGACCTCCTCTAAACTTATTAAACCTCTGGCCAGAAGTACATGTATTTAAAGCCATTTGGTAATATAAATAAATTGGTATTGCTTTTCTGGATGGCACTCTGATAGAAGGTATTAAACTTTTACATGGATATAATTTTCAGGCCAGTAATTCCCTTTCTAGGAACTTATCCTAAGGAAACAATCAAATGTACAAAGATAGCTATGAGAGAGTGGGCATTGTATTACTGTTTATAAGAGAAAAACATTGAAAATGGCTCAAGTATCCATTCATAGGATGCAGGCTAAAGAAATGGTGTGTGTTCCTGCAATGGAACTCTTTTTTTTTTATAGAAGGATGCAAGAGACCTATACCTATTATTTATTTCATTTGGGAAAATGGATGTGATAATACTTTTAAGTGGGAAGGGCTGCAAAAAGATAGGTTACTGTCATGTGTGTAATAATGGTCTCACTTATGTAAAAATATCTTCTGTATATCACTATAGTCAGCGAAGGTTTTCTTCATACTTTCAGCTGTAGTTTATATCTGAAGTTGAGATTAAGTGGGACACTTTGACTTTCTATACTTCTGTTTCATTTGAATTTTTAATACCATGGTTAATTATAACTATTTTTATATCTCTTTTAATTAGACCTCTTTTAAAGCCTTTTGCAGACCAATTTATTAACTGATTAGCTCCACCATGATTTTTCCTGGTGTTTTGCCAAGTTTTCTTCTCTGGCTTCTCAATCTTGCTACTGAGTGTATGTACCAAAGAAATGAGTTACTGCAGCGTCTTCTGCCTTGTATTGTGGAGGCCATCTGAAGAGATACTTTTGCATTTGTCTCTGTTTGAACAGATGGCTTTGACCAGGTGTTATTTTGTGTTTCAAGTTCTCATTCTATGTGTTTGCTTTTGACTGATTACACAAATCAAGTCCTTCATATGTACATTGTGGGATCCTTTCAAGGAAAGTTCTAGGTCTGTTTGGAATGTTTGTATCCTGCTGCTCTGAGTCCAGTCACATTGGGCTTTGAAATCAATCCTTCAACACATCACCTGTTCCAGCCACTGTGAGCTTCCTGCCTCACTGCAGTGTTTTTCTGATACCTAGAGATTTTTTTCCCTTGATTTCAATCTTGATCTTATATAAAATTTAAAGTATTAAACATTTCAGTAGCACTAGAACCTCAATAGAGATTATACTATATTCTTAATCTATCATGCTGTTATATATGTATCTATATATACATTAAATATACATATATAACCATATAAATCTGCAGATCTGTGGGAGAATTAATATTATATGTGAGATCATTTTCTTATTTAGGAATTATTCATTCTCACTCTGCTAAAAACTACACTAATTCCAGAAGAAAATAATCTCTGCCACTAGTTAGAACTTATAAACTCCAATGCTTACAAACCAAAGAGAAACCAATAAGAGTATCTCTTTGTTAAGTTCTTTGTTAAGGAACTATTCAGTCTAGGTGGGAAAAAATGCAATGGGAATAGGGCTCTGCAAACTCGATGTAGAAGCTGAAGTAGATTTAAATGCCACCAGCCCTTGGGGATGCACACTGAGTATGCAGACCATACCAGCCGCTGTGATTCCAAGCTCAAGATGCAAAACCTACATTTTCATGGCTATACAAGTGGGTTATATAAGACATGAGATCTTATACGCATAAAATTTTATTTCCCCGGGAGGCCTGGAAGTTCTCCAAAGGCACAGCCTCTTTTGCCACCCCCCCATTGTCACTGGTAGAATTTGATGGGTGCTGTGAAATATGAGTAAAATTCAAATACCAAGCACTAAGGATGGAAAGTTCTCTTATTGACAAGGTTTAAGTTTCTTGGTCCAGGTATGGCATCAGAGATATTCAGGTATGTTCAGCATCGATCTTTTAGACTCAGGGTTCATGTTGTGGAAATTGAGAATGGAGTAATAGGTTAGGGCTCAGCTATATAGGACTTGAACGCTTGGGAGAGGAGCATGGATTTGCTTTTCTTTTTTTTGCTGGTCCTGGGGCTTGAACTCAGGGCCTGGGCACTGTCCCTGGATCCCTTTGTGCTCAAGACTAGCATTTTACCACTTGAGCTACGGTGCTACTTCTGGCTTTTTCTAAGTAGTTTATCAGAGATAAGAGTCTCACAGACTTTTCTGCCCAGGCTGGCTTCAAACCATGATCCTCAGATCTCAGCCTCTTACAAGGCTAGGGTTTTGGGCATGACCCACCAGCACCCAGCTTCATGGATTTACTTTCTACCAGCATTGTCCAATATGGTACCCACCTTTGGCTATTTAAACTTGTTAAAATTGTATAGTGAAATTTTTATTCCTATGAGCAAAATGCCTACATTTTATCTATGTGATCATCACATATATATGAGCTACATCATTTGGACAGTATGGATATAGATGGTGACAGTTATAGCAGAAAGTTTTGTTGGACATCACTGTTGTAATCTGAGAAACCACTGAAGTTTTTGG